GGTGGTGTGTTGTGGGTGTTGTGGGTGTTGTGGGTGTTGTGGTGCGGGTGTTGCGGGTGTTGTGGGTGTCGTGGGTTTTGAGGGTGTTGCGGGTGTTGCAGGTGTTGTGGGTGTTGTGGGTGTTGCGGGTGTTGCGGGTGTTGCGGGTGTTGCGGGTGTTGTGGGTGTTGTGGGTGTTGCGGGTGTTGCGGGTGTTGCGGGTGTTGCGGGTGTTGTGGGTGTTGTGGGTGTTGCGGGTGTTTTGGGTGTTGCGGGTGTTGTGGGTGTTGTGGGTGTTGCGGGTGTTGCGGGTGTTGCGGGTGTTGTGGGTGTTGCGGGTGTTGCAGGTGTTGCGGGTGTTGCGAGTGTTGTGGGTGTTGCGGGTGCTGCGAGTGTTGCGGGTGTTGCGGGTGTTGTGGGTGTTGTGGGTGTTGTGGGTGTTGTTGGTGTTGCGGGTTTTGTGGGGTGTTGCTGTTGCTGCTGCTCTTGTTGCTGTTGTTGTTGCTGTTGTTGTTGCTGTTGTTGCTGTTGTTGGTGGTGTTGGTTGGTGTTGGTTGGTGTTGGTTGGTGTTGGTTGTTGTTGGTTGTTGTTGGTTGTTGTGGGTTGTCGTGGGTTGTTGTGGGTTGTTGTTGTTGTTGTTTGTTGTTTGTTGTTTGTTGTTTGTTGTTTGTTGTTTGTTGTTGCGGTTGTGGTTGTGGTTGTGGTGGTTGTGGTGGTTGTTGTGGTGGTTGTTGTGGTGGTTGTTGTGGTGGTTGTTGTGGTGGTTGTTGTGGCGGTTGTTGTGGGGGTTGTTGTGGTGGTTGTTGTTGTGGTTGTTGTTGTGGTTGTTGTTGTGGTTGTTGTGGTGGTTGTTGTGGTGGTTGTTGTGGTGGTTGTTGTGGCGGTTGTTGTGGTGGTTGTTGTGGTGGTTGTTGTGGTGGTTGTCATGGTGGTTGTTGTGGTGGTTGTTGTGTTGCTTGTTTTGGTGGTTGTTGTTGTGGTTGTCGTGGTTGTTGTGGTTGTTTTCGGTTTTTGGTTGTTGGTTGTTGGTTTTTGGTTGTTTGTTGTTGGTTGATGGTTGTTGGTTGTCGGTTGTTGGTTGTTGGTTGATGGTTGTTGGTTGTCGGTTGTCGGTTGTTGGATGTTGGATGTTGCTTGTTGCTTGTCGCTGGTTGGTTGTTGGTTGTAGTTTGCAGGTTGTATGTTGTATGTTGTATGTCGTATTTTGTATGTTGTTTCTTGTTGGTTGTTGGTTGTTTGTTGTTTGTTGTTGTGGTTGTGGTTGTGGTTGTGGTTGTGGTTGTGGTTGTTGTTGTTGGTGTTGGTGTTGGTGTTGTTGTTGTTGTCGTTGTGGTTGTTGTTGTCATTGTCGTTGTGGTTGTCGTTGTCGTTTTCGTTGATGTTGTTGTTGTGGTAGTTGTTGTTGTTGTCGGCGTTGGTGTTGTTCTTGTTCTTGTTCCTGTTCTTGTTGTTGTTGTTGTCGTTGTCGTTGTCGTTGTTGTTGTCGTTGTCGTTGTCGTTGCCGATGTTGATGTTGATGTTGTTGGTTGTTGTTGTTGTTGATGTTGTTGATTGTATGTTGTATGTTGTATGTCGTATGCTGTGTGTTGTATGTTGTTGTTGTTGTTGTTGTTGGTGTTGTTGGTGTTGTTGTTGTTGTCGTTGTTGTCGTTGTTGTTGTCCTTGTTGATGTCGTTGTTGTTGTCTATGTCATTGTCGTTGTTGTTGTCGTTGTTGTTGTTGTTGTTGTTGGTGTTGTTGGTGTTGTTGTTGTTGTTGTCGTTGTTGTCGTTGTTGTTGTCCTTGTTGATGTCGTTGTCGTTGTCTATGTCATTGTCGTTGTTGTTGTCGTTGTCGTTGTTGTTGTTGTTGTTGTCGTTGTTGTTGTTGTCGTTGTCGTTGTTTGTTGGTTGTTGGTTGTTGGTTGTTGGTTATCGTTGTTGGTGTTGTTTGTTGTTTTTGTTTGTTGTTTGTTGTTTGTTGTTTGTTGTATGTTGTTTGTTGTTTGTTGTTTGTTGTTTGTTGTTGTTGTTGGTGTTGGTGTTGTTGGTGTTGTTGTTGGTGTTGTTGTTGGTGTTGTTGTTGGTGTTGTTGGTGGTGTCGGTGGTGTTGTTGTTGGTGGTGAGGTTGGTGGTGTTGTTGGTGGTGTTGTTGCTGGTGTTGTTGCTGGTGATGTTTGTGGTGTTGTTGGTGGTGTTGTTGGTGGTGTTGTTGGTGGTGTCGTTGGTGTTGGTGGTGTTGGTGTTGGTGGTGTTGGTGTTGGTGGTGTTGGTGTTGGTGGTGTTGGTGGTGTTGGTGTTGGTGGTGTTGGTGGTGTTGGTGTTGGTGGTGTTGGTGTTGGTGGTGGTGGTGGTGGTGTGGGTGGTGTGGGCGGTGTGGGTGGTGTGGGTGGTGTGGGTGGTGTGTTGTGGGTGTTGTGGGTGTTGTGGCGCGGGTGTTGCGGGTGTTGTGGGTGTCGTGGGTGTTGAGGGTGTTGCGGGTGTTGTGGTGCGGGTGTTGCGGGTGTTGCGGGTGTTGCGGGTGTTGTGGGTGCTGTGGGTGTTGCGGGTGTTGCGGGTGTTGTGGGTGTTGCGGGTGTTTTGGGTGTTGCGGGTGTTGTGGGTGTTGTGGGTGCTGCGAGTGTTGCGGGTGTTGCGGGTGTTGTGGGTGTTGTGGGTGTTGTGGGTGTTGTGGGTGTTGTGGGGTGTTGCTGTTGCTGCTGTTTTGTTGCTGTTGTTGCGGGTGTTGCTGCTGCTCTTGTTGCTGTTGTTGTTGCTGTTGTTGCTGTTGTTGCTGTTGTTGGTGGGTGTTGGTGGGTGTTGGTTGTTGTTGCTGTTGTTGGTGGTGTTGGTTGGTGTTGGTTGGTGTTGGTTGGTGTTGGTTGTTGTTGGTTGTTGTTGGTTGTTGTGGGTTGTCGTGGGTTGTTGTGGGTTGTTGTTGTTGTTTGTTTGTTGTTTGTTGTTTGTTGTTTGTTGTTTGTTGTTTGTTGTTGCGGTTGTGGTTGTGGTTGTGGTTGTTGTTTTGGTTGTTGTTGTGGTGGTTGTTGTTGTGGTTGTGTGGTGGTTGTTGTGGTGGTTGTTGTGGTGGTTGTTGTGGTGGTTGTTGTGGCGGTTGTTGTGGGGGTTGTTGTGGTGGTTGTTGTTGTGGTTGTTGTGGTGGTTGTTGTGGTGGTTGTTGTGGTGGTTGTTGTGGTGGTTGTTGTGGTGGTTGTTGTGGCGGTTGTTGTGGTGGTTGTTGTGGTGGTTGTTGTGGTGGTTGTCATGGTGGTTGTTGTGGTGGTTATTGTGTTGCTTGTTTTGGTGGTTGTTGTTGTGGTTGTTGTGGTTGTTGTGCTTGTTGTGGTTGTTGCGGGTTTTTGGTTGTTGGTTGTTGGTTTTTGGTTGTTGGTTGTTGGTTGATGGTTGTTGGTTGTCGGTTGTTGGTTGTTGGTTGTGGGTTGTCGGTTGTCGGTTGTCGGTTGTTGGATGT